AAAACAGCTCCAGTTTGTGGAAATGGGTCCTCCTGGACACCCATTCAAGTTGGAAGAAGAAGAAGAAGAAGAAGAAGAAGAAGAAGAAAGGAGAAGAAGGAGAAGAAGAAGAAGAAGAAAGGAGAAGAAGGAGAAGAAGGAGAAGGAGAAGAAGAAGAAGGTAAACCATGGCCGAACTGGTCTTCACACGCAATGAAAATTAAATTTTTCAATTTCATGCAAAAGCGTGTACACTGCTGAAACCGCTCAGTGCACGCGTTCCTCTACCTGTTTCAGCCGGTTGCGTTCCGGTCTCATCATCAGATCGGCTATCGGCATAACCCGTGCCTTACGACGGTCCACGTCTCTCTCTACCACCCACCCACTAATTACAGTAATTAAACGGAGAAGATTAATTAGTGATTAGCAATGCTGTAATTAAACGGAGAAGATTAATTAGTGATTAACAAGGATGCGACACATTGACACGCAGAGAGAAGAGATTCAAAATTGATGCACCGGGGTTTAATGGGCCCCGGCGCAAGGATGAAAACACATGGATCGAAAACTGATGCAAACTATTCGGGGACGAAAGGGGTGGGGGGAGGGAGGAGGGGGGGGGGGGGGGGGGGGGGGATAAAGGAAGGGGGAAGAAGTTCGGGAAATGCCGAACACAAGCCCGGTAACAAGGAAGGTACTTTACTTCCATGTGGTGCAGGCAATTGCGAAATGATGACCAGGTTCGTTCTGACAAGGGAGGGTACTTGTGCAATTTCAGGCAAAAACATAGGGGTCACTTTGGGGTTTCACCTCATGATACCAGTTTGGAGAGGGACTTTTGGGTTAAAAAAAAAAGGCCTTTTTCTTTTACATTGAGGGCATACTCACACTACCGTCTTCAACCGAATAGAACGCCTGGTCATTTCACCTGTATCTGGACTGGAAGTTGCGCCAAATTCAGCCATTAATAACCGGGTGTTTTATTCGGGTGAAGACGGTACCCCACTTTCCTAGTAGAACTGCCGGTCATTTCACCTGTATCTGGACTGGAAGTTTCCCCAAATACAGCATTAATAACCGGGTGTTTTATTCAGGTGAAGACGGTACCCCACTTTCCTAGTAGAACTCCCGGTCATTTCACCTGTATCTGGACTGGAAGTTGCCCCAAATACAGCATTAATAAACGGGTGTTTTATTCGGGTGAAGAAGGTACCCCACTTTCCTAGGTGCTTTCAAGATCTCGACGCCCTCCAAAACAATCAAGATCGCAGGTTTTTTTTTTGTTTTTTTTTTTTCCTAACGCAGCATTTCCAATCAATGCATCTAGTAGATCGGTAAAGTGTATTTCTAGTACACGAATTGAAAGCAACTCCAATCGATGCATCCAGATCGGTACCGACGACCAAGTACATTTGAAGTATGTTCGCCACTCGATCACTGAACCTACATCGGTGGCGACGTCCAAGTACATCTCATCATCATCATCATCATCATCATCATCGTCATCATCACCCAAGTGACGATCATAATGAATTGTGTTTGGACGTCGTTACCGATCTAGGTGCATTAACTGGGGTTGCTCTCAGGCCGTCTGAAAACCATCTG